GGTGGCCCCGGCGCATCAGTGATCGTGCCCGAGGGACCGGAAGCCACTCCTCCTGGGCAGTGCAGACGTGGTCAGCAGTAACTACGCCGTGGGAAATGCCAGTCAGCGGACGACCTCTCCCTGCAGACCCACGCCCCGCGGCTGAGCGCATTCCCGTCCCCTCTGGGAGCCGACTGGGTGGAGGGTGGGTGTGAGCCCGTCAGGGTCAGCCCCGGGGAACGCTCCCGGCCTGCACCCTTGTCTGCATGTGTCCGCACGAAGAATACCCGCCAGTGGTTGGGGAGAGGCCCACGGGAGCATCCCCGGCTGCGCACAGTAGGTGATCAGCAGGGACTGCCCTCTCTTTATGGCCCACTTAGCAAATATTGAGCACCTACTCCGTGCCAGGTGCTCTCTCCATCCCAGGGACACATTGGTCAGCCAAACAGATCCGGCCCCAGAACCAGCATTCCAGCTCACCTCCGTGCCGGTGCCAACACCGCCAAAAACGAGCCTGGTCGTAAGGGACTGACCTGGGAGGTGGCCCCAGGTGTCATGTGCCTAGAAAACTCATTTGAGGAAGAGAACACGAACCCCCCCAGAGGGCAGCCCTGGGTGCTGTGAGGCTATCCAGGGACAGTGGTGTCCTCACTGGGGCTGAGGACGCAGAGGGCAGAGGGAGGGGGAGGTTGACCAGGCCCCTGTGGTGGTCAAGGGCCCAGCCCAGGTCTCCCACCTGGGCTCCAGGGCTTCCTGTGCGCAGCTGTGGCCAGGAACCGTCTTCCTATGCTTCATAGGAGCAGCATCCTGTGTGTGCAGCTCAGCCCTGGCCCATGGTCAGGCAGGAGTCACCAGGAGCGGGCTGTGCACCGTGAGGACACAGTCAGGGGAGACCCTCCTTGTGGCCCGTGACCCCAGGCCTAAGTACTCAGGATCCCTAATACCCTGATTTCAGTACAGCTGCTCTCCAGGGCGGGCGACAGCTCCACGGATCATGGTGGGCTGGGGAGATACTCTGCCCAGGAGCCCTCTGGGTGCTGACGGCATCCAGGGAGAGCCCATGCTCAGCCGTGCTGATGCCAGCCTTCCAGCAATCTCCGAGCCCACGCTTCAGACAGGGTGGGTGGCCGTGAGCGCGCACTGGAAGCCACGGTCCACCCGTGACTTAGCGCGAGCAGGCTCAGGTGGCCGTGGTGGGGAGGGGTTCCCAGCATCCTCACACGCCGCAAGTGCCCCGTGGGGACGTCAGTGCTTGTTTTGTTTGTGATTTTCTTCCTCCTAAAGGGAAAATGCCAAGAGCAGCTGTGGTGTGGGCTCCATTTTTGCGAGTGGGGCTGGGAGTGGAGGTTTAACCCCGTTTAGGTCGTGCTGAGGGAGCAACCTTGGCCCGACCCTGCTCCCCTGGTGGCCAGCATTTTGGGGGACCCCGATCCTGGCCCTCCCTACGCCCACGCTGTGGCTCGCAGCCCCGACAGTTCTGTGGCCTCCAGATTTCCCACACAAGGGACCAGAGTCGGAGGCAACCCACTGCTCTGGGGCATCGGCTGGGGGAGGGGACCCGGCATCTCCTGGTTTCTTCCGGCTGCCGCCAGGCCAGGCACCAAGGTTTAAAACATCCCGCATGTGTCCTTGTCAAACCGGTCCCACGACCCCTTCCCCCAGTGCTGCCAGATGTTTTCCTGGGAGGGACCCCGCTGCTCACGTCAACAGCGGAATGTGTTTTCCCAGGGAGGCCGGCTCAGCCCTGGTCCCTGACCACCGTCCGGAGAATCTCCGTTGACTCAGAAGAATGTATTTTGGGTCTTTGCGTGTGGGTGAGCCCTGTGCACCAGAATAAACCTAAGCTGTAACAGGAAAGATGAGTTCGGCTGCACAGGGCTGCCCATGGTCCTTTCTTCCTGCTCAGGGGTCCCCACAGGCTGGCCCCATGCCCACAAGTCACCAGGACTGGAGGCAGCACTGACGCCTGTTTGGTCTCAGTGCCCCAAGGGCTTCCTAGGGCTGCAGAGGCCTTTGAGCTTCTTGGCCAAAGGAGTCCGTGCAGATGTGATCTCCGCTGCCTGGGGCAGGGAGAGGAGGGGTAGCCTCTCCTGCACTGGAATCTCCCGCCAGCCAGGGGGCCCGGCAGGGACGCTAGCAGCACCAGGGATTCCCCCAGCTGTGACTTTGTATTGCAAAGATCTGCAGATGAGGAAGAGGGAGGCTCAGAGAGGTGGAGTCACTTGCCAGAGATAACACAGGTGTGGGCCAGGACTCCAACCCAGGCCACCCAATTCATGGCTTTCCCCGGTGGCCACCCTGCCTGCCCCTTGGGGGCAGTGGGAGGATCTGGACTCCCCTTGCCCAAGCCCCCAGGGCTGCCCGCTCTAGTCCACGCTGAGATGCACCCGATCCCAAGCCCGTGCACTGCGTCCCCCAACCCTGGACCGTCAAGTCAGGCTCCAGGTTCCCCAGAGGCGTGCCCCACACCAGCACGCCTCCGAGTCTTGCCCATCCGGTCCCTGTGCCTGAGCGCCCTGGTCCTGGCTGTCTCCTTGAAGCAGCCTCTCTTGGACCCCTGCTTCTTTGAAGCCTCCAACCGCTTAAATAAGCCCCCTGCAGCAAGCCCCGTGGTGCTCTCATCTACCATTTCATGACGAGCATCGTGCGCCAAGTGGCGGCTCCTGGAACCTGCACGTGACCTTATTCAGAAGAAGGTCTTTGCAGATGTAAGGTACTGACCTCTGGATGAGATCATCCTGGATTAATGTGGACCCTAAAATCCAATGACAGGTGTCCTTAGAAGAGAAGGGAGGGGGAGACTGGAAACCCAGAGCCACACAGGGGAGTAGGCGTGTGCAGATGGAGGCAGAGGTTGGGGTGGTGTGGCCACAAGCCCGGGACACCTGGGGTCCCCAGGAGCTGAAACGGGTGTCAGCTACACCTCCCTTCCTTGGCCTGGTTCCCTTCTGCCAGGACCCCCAGAGTTGTGGAAAGATGAGGTGGGGCCTCTCCACCTGGGGCCCAGCATGGGCTCCAAGCCCCTGGGGTGCCCTTGAGAAGCCTGGTGGACCACAGAACCCACTGCCTTGGAGCAGCTCTGTGTCGGAGAGCATCGTGTTTCTTTGCCTTTTGTTACGACGGGACACCCCAGTATCTCGGGGTGATGGGGGAGGCTGCTGGGGTTACACATGCCTTCGGTGGGGGAACGTGCTATTGGCACCTTAATGCCATTCATAGATGAAGGGGGTCTCTGAAACTTGAGCTGCAGGGGAGACAAAGAAATAGAAAAGTAGAGTTGTTGGGTCATGTTGGATCTCACCCACGATTAGCAGTGTGGACTCAGGGCGGCACAGCCTGCGTGTGAACATCGGCTCCCTCACCTACCGGCTGCACGCTGCCTGCCGGGCCCTGACTTTCCACCCCAGCTTCAACGAGGAGTAACTGACACATATAATTGTGTATGTTTAAAGTCTACACTGTGATGACTCGGTAAACACAGACATCGTGGAATGATTACCCAGATCAAGATAATTAACACATCCATCACCTCACACAGTTAAGTGTGTGTGTGTGTGTGTGTGTGTTGAGAACGCTTAAGATCGCTCACCACCTTCCAAGTATACAATGTTGTATCATTAACTGCAGTCACATGCTGTTCGTCACATCCTCAAAACTAAATCCTTCAACTGAAAGTTGGTACCTCTGACCGATGTCTCCCCACCCCCGGCCCCCAGCCCCTGGCAACCACCATTCTACTCTGTTTCTATGTTTGTGTGTTTGCTTTGGTGGGGGACGTAATTAAGTTTTTTAATGATTTATTTTGTAACGGGGGTACAGGGGATTGAACCCAGGACCTTGTGCATGCTAAGTGCACACTCTGCCACTGAGCTATACCCTCCCCTTCTCTGTTTCTATGAAATCAGCTTTTTCAGTTGTTGTTCTATATATAAGTGATACCATACGATATTTGCCTCTCTCTGTTTGACTCGTTTCATTTAGCATAACGTCCTCCAGGTTCATCCATGTTGTCACAAGTGGCAGGATTCCCTCCTTTTGTGGCTGAGTAATATTCCACTGTGTATATCTACCACACTGTCTTGATCTGTTCGTCTGTCGAGGGACCGTTAGGCTGTGTCTGTATCTTGGCTATTGTGAATAGCATTGCAGTAAACCTGGGGGAGCAGACATCTCTCCAAGATCCTGATTTCATTTCCTTTGGCTAAATACCCAGACATGGGATGGCTGGATCATATATGGTAGCTCTAGTTTTAATTTTCTGAGGAACCCAGGCAGTGACTTCATCTCGCCGAGCCTCAGTGTTCCCATCCGTGAAGGGGCCAGTGGTCCTGCCTTTCCCTCAAGCTAACTGGAGTCCGTTCCCTCGAAGCTCTTGGCTTCTGCTGCCCCTGGGTGGGCAGCACTCAGTGACCCTCAGCTGCTCAATCCTGTCAATCAGACATGCCGAACCAGAGAGAAGTGACTTGTCCAGTGTCACGGCAGTTCAGCAGGGGAGCTGGACCTGAACATGGGCCTGCCCTCGAGCCGGCTCACATTAGGATAAGGCAGTGCAGCAGCAGGGAACCCAGGGGATGGGCTGGGTGCAGGCAGAGGTGTGTCCTGACCCCACAGAGACGCCCAGAGGGGACCATCCTTACATCACCTCCTCACCCCTGCTTGATGGGTCCCGAGTACACCCACTCGGCTGAAGGGCCTGCCTGGGCTCTCTATCATGAAAGGGCTTTTGTGGCCCAGGCTGCTTTAGGGACCCTCGACTAACCCCCTTGAGAACTTCCCAGGCCTTGTGGAGTCTGGGCCTCCCTCCAGGCCCGCCCCTCCCTGGCTCTGCATCAGTCCCACAAGACCGGGGGAGCCCACTCACCCCCGAGCTTCCCCGTGCCGTCTGGAAGGAGGGGATCCCAGTGGTGCTCAGCACATCAGAGGATCCAGTAGGTGATGGCCGGCTGCTGTCCCCAAAGGTGAGAGTGGTTTTCAGCCCCACGCATCTGCTCGCTGACAAAGGACTTCTCTCCTCTTTCCAGACGAAAATTCATGGGGTTGGATTTGTAAAGATCCACGCGCCTTGGAATGTGCTGTGCAGGGAGGCTGAGTTTTTGAAACTGAAGATGCCGACAAAGAAGGTTGGTGCTGGTGTCTACCCCAGATGGTCCCTGGGTCTGGGTTTTGCAGACGCCCAGTGGGAAAATGTCAGGAGGGTCTGAATTGTTATGAAAGTCTGAGCCCAGGCCCCTACCCCAGGAGGGCAGGAGGGCCCCAGTGTCCTGAGGGCAGAGAGTGTTACCCGGCCCCACAGAGGGGCCCAAACGGAGGGGCCCAGGACCATCTCCTAAACACAGACACGGTGATGCTTCCTGCTCTGGCTTTTCATACTCTCAGTATTTCCGTGCATTCATCAGACCCATTTTAATTACATTTCCTAGCTTGCTGGGCTGCTGCTTCTTAATCTCTGAAAACTTCAGGCTGAGAAGCGGTCTGACAGTGTTTCTGCCTGAGCTTAGCGAGACGTCAGGGTCTCCTTTACCGCGCGGAGAGGAGAGCCGGAGCGGTGAGGCTGTTCTGGGCAGGGAGTCAGCTCCTGGCTGCTCAGACCCACCCCAACCCTATGGATTACCTCTTTTTAAACAGAAGTAAAGTTTGGGGAAGTTCTCTGGACTGTACAATCGTTGCCTTTCTGGCTGGGATCTCCTGAAACTCTGAGCTTTCTGGAAACCCAGGCGCGGAGGGGGGCGTTGTGGCCGCTCCCAGGACGTGCTGTGTCCGTGGGGTGGGCTGGCTCTCTGACCGTGTCAGAGGAGATCCCCAGGGCTGCGGCTCAGCCGATGACGTGCATCCCCCGGCCCCGTCTTGTCTGCAGCTGTATCACATCAACGAGACGCGTGGCCTCCTAAAAAAGATCAACTCTGTGCTCCAGAAGATCACGGACCCCATCCAGCCCAGGGTGGCAGAGCACAGACCCCAGACCACCAAGAGGCTCTCCTACCCCTTCTCCCGGGAGAAGCAGCACCTGTAAGTGTGGGCCCTCAGCTGCCTGCCCCTTCCCGGGGGCCCTCTCTGTGGCCATGCCACCCCCTGGTTGCCCATGACCGGAGAAATGCACGTGTGGGATGGAGTCTTCTGAGGCCAAAGGGAGTTCTCCATCCCCCGCAGAAGTGGGGATTTCAGCCCCTGGAGCAAATTCACACGTGAGCTTGTGAGTCGTTGGCACAGAAGTCCTGGAAATAATTTCCAAGGTCACTATTAACTCAGGAATTAAGGGGACAGAGTCTTGTCCTTCTGCTGAGTGACACAGGGAACCTAGCATGGGCCTTGGATTAAAGCCCAAACCGGTGGTCTGGGCACCCTCCCTTGGCCCAGCTCTGTCCCTGTCAGGATGCCTTCCAGGCAGAGCATCTGGTTAACTGCACCTCCTGAAGGCTGCCAGTCCTGGGAGCCGAGAACCAAAAAGCAGCCCCAGCTGGAGTCCCGAGGCCCTGGGGACTCACAGCCAACGGGGTTGCCTGGCACTGGTGCACCTGTTCTGGAACCTTCCCTCCTCCCCTGAGCCCACGGGGTAGAGGGACATAGCCACCTAGGTCTCTGTGGAGCCTCACCAGGCAGAGCTGGAGCACAGATGTTGCAGAAAAAACACCTCAGTGTTACAGCTCAGTTGTGACAGCAACCTGGATCTGGGATAGAGACCAAGCAGCACTCCCAGTTGGAGAACTCAGGTTTATTACGCCAGCAGGCCCAGAAAAATTAACACTCCAAGCTCCAGATCCCCTCTATAGGTTTACACAGTCTTTTATAGGCTGCCAGTTTACACTGTGCAACATCATATGCAAATGAGGTATAATGAAAGTTGACTAATTAGGAACAAGCTTTGTAGAAATGGACCAATCAGAAGGGAGAGCAATAACCAATCAGGAGTGAGCTCCATGCAAATGAAGTACTACAAATGGATCAATCAGAAATTAGGGAAATGAACCAATCAGGAGTGAAGGAAATAACCAATCAGGAGTGAGCTCAGGGAATCAATAG